TTGCATTGAAATCAATGAGATCTACCTCTGAAGCAATTATATTTGGCCCCTGAGAATCAGTCATTCAAGTCAAGCAGATGTCAAAACCGATTCCTTAATGGCTGAAAATGTACCTTTGTTTTTATTGGACCTGGCTGAATCACATTAAATCTCATGCCGTATTTACCCCATTCGGCTGCAAGAGACCTAGAAATTCATTACAAGACTTTATTAAGTATTTCACATGTAAGTAAAACTAGAAAGCACAAATCCTGAGCATGAACACACCATAATTTCTGTTTTGGATCCATATCTTGTAACACATGAAAACTTTCTGACACAAACTCCAGTTCACAAGATTTGGTAGATGTCTTTAACATCTACCAAAATCCAGCAATTTATAATGTGATTTGTGGAAGTGAACTGACAATACAAAACTAGGTGAAACTTTTACATCAAGTGGAACAATTTCTAACATTTTTGAAGGAGATATGTCTTTCTGCTGATTATACACACTTGGGGCTATTATGCTGGGATTTTGTATGTCCTGGGAGTCTTCTCCAACAAAAATCAATCAAATTATTGTTGCTGTTGTTTAGTTAATATTTTGTGTATTATGATTTAATTAATATTTTACTTATTGCTTCATTTATATCTCACCATCCTCCTAGGCCACTACACAAAGTAAGCCATGAATTAAAATAGCTAAAAAGCACTGGCATGTTATTATTTTCTTTATAATTACGTCTATCAGACCACATAAGAAAAAGGCCACAAAAACTGCATGTGATTTGAGAGAGACCTAGAAGTTCATATATAAACAAAGATAGTTCAGTTCATGAGAACAAAATTAAATTCCACAACTTTATTCCATCAATAACTTTATTTGGATCAACTAAAATTCCACAAAAGAGTGCAAGCTTTTCATTTTCCACATTAGGCTTGGTGATACAAAAATACATGGTGGTGGTGGCTGAGATGCAGGTAAGTCCACAAACATGTTCAAGTGGTTCTGTGGTCCTGCAGTCTGCAATTAAACTCAGACTGAAAAGACATTTCAGTCAATGCAATCCTAACCTGATGGGAAGTTCTGCAGAAGCTGAATGCTTGTGTACTGCTGTGGAATTTTTGTTGCTCATAAATACTTTCTGTCCATGGAATTCAGTTTTATTAGAACTCATATATTAAATTCATTATGTTTCAGATGGTGGATCTTCTTGGACTACATATCTCATAATCTTTTATACAGATGTGGGCACCTAAATTTGGCTCACCTGGGAGAAAGGCCTAAGCTAAAGTCTCTGTTGGCCTTGTTCAGAAAGGAAGTTTCCTGAACAGGGCATTAGACAGACCTCCGCCTCACTAACTCACAAAGTCTTCAGACTTAGGCTATTTCTCAGGTGAGCAACATTTAGGGGTTTGTGTATAGTTCTGGTCAGCACACATACTGTAAAAAAGGATACTGCAGAACTGGAAAAGATACAAAAAAGAACAACCACATTGGTGGCGTGGCTGATGCAACACTACATGCTACAGTGCTTAGGTATTCTTTGTGATGGTCCCACTAGTAGATAGTCAACCATTGGCGGAACAGAATTCTGAGCCACACAGACCTTTCTTTCTTTTTTTTTTTTTCATTTGCAAAACTTCTCATGCCCCTTAAGGGGCTTCCAATGGGCAACTTGTCATGTTCTTCACTCCCATATTTTTAAGCCCACATAACTTTTTTTCAAAAATGGGCATGATTTCTGGCAATATCTAGTCTGAAAGAAAAGACCATACTAGGCTTAAAAGAACCCAGAATTTTTTTTTGGGGGGGGACTTGTTAAAGGTTCTTTTTTAATCCCTTAACATTTTTTGAAAAGATTTTGTGGTATCACGGGCAGGTCTTCTATTATGTGGAGAGGGCATCCATAACCTCTAGAGGTTGCCTCCCCTGATTTAGTCAAATCACTAACATTACGACAACCACAACCTGGACCTTACCAATAATCTTCAATACACTGGAATTAACATGAAGCTTAGAAGACACCACAGAACTCAACTGATACAATTTTTTTAAACCTGGTGGTAGAAATGAGTTAAAGAAAGCATTTAAGGGTCATCTAAAAGAAAACAGAGAAGGGAATCTAACAAGAAGGAAACCTTAGGGAGGGAACTGCATAGATTTTAAGACATTTCCTTCAGGGAGGGCACTCTACAGATACTGTAATGCATATTCTACTTCTGAAGACTGATGGGCTACTCACATGCAGAAAGCTTCTACACCTGCTTTGGCAGAAGCACTTGGTGACACAAACCCAGATCCACTTTCTGCATACACTGTTGTAATTGCCAGAAATGCTGCTCCTAAAAGATGCATGGGGGGAAAAAGTTAAGCACCAAGGCAAAGCGTTCTAATCATACAACAGTCTTTTTATTCTTGAAGCATCTGGGGAAATGTGGCATGTTTTTGAGTCCAACTCCAAAACTGAAGATAGACCTCAGAGCTTGATACAATCATTTCAACACTTTTCTGTGTAGTACCTTAAAAGCCTTATGGTACCTTAAATAGATATAACCAAACTGCACCTCACAGACCAAAAAATGCATCTTCATACCATTAAAGCCTCAACAGAAATCCTGGATCACTACTTAGAATTCCTTGTTATTTGTGACTCAACATTAAATTCAAATTTTGCTCTTCATCTTGCTACAAATAGCTTTGGTTCAACTTTTAAAGCCTACACACTAATCCTGTCAGGAAACTATATTTTTTCTCAATGGAGAAGGAAGAAGTTCGCAAGTTCTGAAGCTGAACTATTATTAGGAAGAACAAAGCTGAATGCAAGTTTATTCACCAAGTTGCTTAAAAGTTGGTGGCTTCATTGCAAATCACATTTCATGCAATTATCAGAGTATTACAAATAATGACCCAAAATTTCTATGTGGAATCTAATGAGATACTTTTGTGGTTGGCCTGCTTACATCAGCAGAATTGGGAAAGGGAGGTAACTCCATTCTGCACACCCTCAAAAATCTGTTCCAGAGCTTTGGGCACCTCTGGAGCAGATTTTGGAGGGCGGAGTGGCTTCTACATAGGAGAAAACCAGGAGAATCCTTCCAAAATGGACGTTGAATTCTACCTTCATGAAATTAGATTCTTCCCCCTCCCCCCACATTTTTTTTAATCTGTGTTTCACTGATGGCACTCAGCTCTGATTTAATTCTTAAGCAAATATGCAAAAGTGTTACCTAAGTGTTAACCTCCCAGGATCAAGGAAAGTTATCTCTAAAAAATAATTCATTATGTCTATAGTTCCAAGCTACTTCACAGTAAATGCTGTTGTACTGTAGTTTTTTTTTTTAAAAGAAGCAATGCAATTTCTTCCATTACAAAAAGTTACTAAAATAACTTTTTAAAAAAACCAAGCAGAACGGGTTACCATTCAAAACACACTTAAGTAATGATGACACACATGACTCTTAAATATAAAAGTAACAACATTGGTCAATATAAAAAGACAGTGGTTAGCTGCAAGATCCAGGGGAGGTCTTCGTTGTTTAGTTGTTAAGTCATGTCTGACTCTTTGTGACCCCATTGACCAGAGCATGCCAGGCCCCCCTGTCTTCCACTGGGTCAAATTCATGTTGATAGCTTTGGTGACACTGTCCAACCATTGCATCATCTGTCATGCCCTTCTCCTCTTGCCTTCACACTTTCCCTTCATCAGGGTCCTTTCTAGTATTGGAAAAGTATTGGAGCCTCAGCTTCAGGATCTGTCCTTCCAGTGAGCACTCAGGGTTGATTTCCTTCAGAATGGATAGGTTTGTTCTCTTTGCAGTCCAGGGGACTCTCAAGAGTCTCTTCCAGCACCACAGGGGAGGTCTACGACAGAGTAACTCTAAAGGAGTCAATTTAAGTTTTTCCCAAGGCTGCCACCCAATTTGAACAACAGCAATAGGCGACTGAGGCCACAACTTTGTCTCTTTACAAAGCTTAGTCAATGCTGTCTTCAAATGTCTGGTTCATTCCCTCCACTTGTCCTGATGATTCTCCATGGAATGTGCAAAGTCCACCTGATGCCAAGGATCTTAGACACAGCTTGCCTTGACCTGATTTAATACTCTCAGGAAGGAAGAAATGTGGAAGTATCTCTTTAATTAAGATCTTGGCAACTGTCATGGCAGTGTCTGTCCTAATGTGGAAGGCTTCAATACATCCTGTTAGTTGGTCCACCATAACTAAAAATAACAATATCTCCTACGTTTTGGTAATTCAGAAAAGTCAACTGTAATCTCTGAAAGGGGGTATATGTCCATGTCTTATTTACTCCACACAAGAAGGGGCACTACCGTGTAATGTCACAATGATAATAAAACTTATACTGTAGCTTTTTTTTTCTTAAAGAACTTAATTAAAGAGATGTGTTGTTTTTAATAAGTTATCCCAAGCACCAGCTGAGACTATGCTGAGGCATATTTGGTTCTTTTACATTGCTTGTTTGTGATATTATCTGGAAGATCTGAGTTTGTTTTGCAGGAGAATAAAAAACTACCAGCTACATTCAGCCTTAGTGGGATGTGGTGGTGCTGTGGGTTAAACTGTAGAAGCCTCTGTGCTGTAAGGTCAGAAGACCAACAGTCATAAGATTGAATAAACACAATCGAGTGAGCTCCCGTCACTTATCCCAGCTCCTGCCAAACTAGCAGTTCGAAATCATGCAAAAATTAAAGTAGATAAATAGGTACCACCACGGTGGGAAGATAATGGTGTTCCATGTCTAGTCGCGCTGACCACGTGATCACGGAAAAGGTCTATGGACAAACGTTGCCTTTATGGCTTGGAAATGGGGATGAGCACTTCCCCCTAGAGTTGGACACGACTGGACTAAATGTCAAGGGGAACCTTTACCTTATATTCAGCCTTATTTTCACAATAATCAAATGGATTGTGTAAAGAAACATAATATCCCTACAGTTCTAAAAGAGAGAAAAACTATTTTGTCTGATATCCCACTTGGAATTCAAGAACAAAATACAAACTTTTCACAATCCAATCTTACCTTTCTGTGCTTTAATCAGTTCTTTTCCAATTTCCAGAGTTACAAAAGCAGTACCATTAAGAACAATATCAGTAATTGTCCTCCAGGCATTTGCAGAAAGACGTTCAGAAGGAGAAATAAAATTTCCAGCTGCATTATTTATTATAACCTGAAGTGGAGAAGAAAAGTTTGTATTTGCTTTGAAATCAGCTCTTGCACATTTGAAATAACATCTGAAATAACCGTTTAAATAACGTTTAAAGCCCTAAACGGTTTAGGGCCTTGATACTTGGCGGAACGCTTACTCCCACCTAGTGCGTCAGGAGGTGAGGTTGAGCAGCCTGATGCCAAGGGAGGCCCGGAAGGAAAAAACAAGAAACCGGGCCTTCTCGGCAGTGGCTCCTCACCTCTGGAACAACTTACCTCCTGAGATTCGCACGGCTCCCTCGCTGGGTATTCTCAAGAAACAACTGAAAACATGGATGTTTAGGCAGGCCTTCCCCCCTTCCAGTTAACTCCTAATTATTCTTCCTTTCTTATTCCGTTATAATATACCCTGTTTCTTGCCATCTTTGGGAAAAAAATTATTTCTTTTCATTTATGCAAATTATGTTATGTTATGTGTTATGTTATATGCCTAATTGTTTTTATAGTGTGTGTTGTAAGCCACCTAGAGTGGTCACAATCGACCAGATAGGCGGGGTATAAATGAAATAAAATAAATAAATAAATAGGGTGGTTTCAGAGCTTTCAGCAGAAGTCAAGACAGAAACCGAATATCAGCTAGAAAAAAGAAAAACAAATTCGACAAAAGTGCAAGACAAGCAAGGAAATGTACAATCATCAGTGGCTTAAATGGCTTAAAGAGTTTCTGTGCAAATGTCAATATATGATTTCTACAGTCATGGAAGTCAACTCATGAAAAAAACAGCAAAGCAAAGCAACCAAGATACAATATGACATTAAAACAATAATTAAAAATTAACCAGAGTAAGACTTGCTCCAAGGGCTTTTATCACAAAATGATAATTTGATGATTTTGATAAAATCATTTGATGATTTTATATTTACCTGCTTTTGCCAATAATTGGTGATGTGTAAGAAACTGATTCTCCATCTAAGAAACAGGGCTATAACAAAGTAAAGGTCCTATTTCCTGAATAGAAAATGCTCAACCATCTCACTTAGAGAACCATAAGGTTTATGCAGCACCAGTAACTAAGTGCTACGGTACGGAGTGCTCCTGTTAGGGTCTTGCTCACTTCCAGGACACTCCATTGTACTCCTCTTGGTTGTCTGACTCTCCTCACCATCATCAACCAGCAATTGCTAGTCCATGCCTACAGTGCATAATGTGGTTGGAATCAATTAGTGGTCCCAACCAGAGTAAACTCACCCCAATCAAAGGGGGTTACATAGGTAATGATGACCCAAAATCAAGTAACAGATTCAAGAGGTCTCTCTAGTTTGAACCAGAAACTGGATTTAGGCATGCATTCTCACGGCATTTTTTGCTGCCTCCTTCCCCTGCTTCCGCCATCTCTCACTGTGCATGAATGGGATTGTTTTGGCTACTTTACTGTTAGTACATACAGTGCATATTATTAATAATTGGTTGCAAAGCCAGATGGATGTGCTTCAATTATGTCACAAATACCATGACTCCTCACTCTGAAATATCTCTAGAAACCAAATGATAACATTAGTCAGACAATGATCCTATAAAGAACCATCTGGGATCACATAATATCTAAGCTAACAATGCTGTGCATTAAACATTTATACAGAAGGTCCAAGAAATTGCCCAATAAGGGAAAAATCTGCCCTTATTTATTTATTTATTGGATTTTTACCCCATCCCCCTAGACAATGTCTACTCGGGGTGGCTTACATGGATAAAAACACAACAATATGACATATATAAAAATCATCAAAGACACAATTATAGCAATTAATTGTGCCCCCTGCCACATTTTAGACTATTAATTGGCCAAGCAGGAGAAATACAGTACTACTAACCTAGAGGACTTCTTGGTTTCACTGACTGCACTCTTTCCTTTATGGACCTTAACCTTAACATCATGTTGTGGCCCATTAAAACAGACATGAGTCTGTGGATATTATAAATTGCTATATGAGCATGAATCATAAAGCAATTCGTAATTGCTTCAAAATATTCTTCAAATACAAATATTTGAATAAATATATTTATTTACATTTATTTGAATAAATATATTTATTCAAAAATAAATATTCTTCATATATAATGCTCCAGAATAGAGTAATCCAGCAGGTGATTTATCTGAGTTGTAGTCTAAAACTAAGATCTAACTGCATTCTTTGTTATCCAACATCACTGGAATTAGATTTTTCTTCCTCTTTCCTTCCCTGGCAGTATCCTGTTCCCAATGGCTTCCCCAGCTCTCTTGAACAGAGTTTTATGGTGCAGGGGGAACTGCAAGGAGAAAGGATGGCTGTCAATTCAGGCAGAAGCAGTGGGGATTAATGGGAATGTGCCTCCAAATGTGGGCTGAAAATACCTGGGGGAACACTAGGTTGCCGATCCCTGTACTAATGCATAGTTTTAAGCTGGTTGCATTTTCTAATATTGCAAGCTATCCTACTTTTGAATAATATGCAGGTTATTTAAGGAGCCAGGAATCAATCTTTAATTAGGGCACTTACATTGGGAAGTCCAGCCACATTGATCAAATGAGACACCGCACTGCTAACTGAAGCTGGATCTCTCACATCACACTGGACTGCATGTACCTGCACAACAATGTATCATCAATATCATCACAACCAAAAGTACATCACTCCCCAAAAGTGGAGATGGAAGTAAATTGGTCTTTAGGAAATAAATTCCACTCACAAAATTTCTAGATTTGTTATAGATCATGCATAAATATTAATGGCATTTGTGAAACAATACCTTATTTCCTGTTTTAGAAGAAATTTCTTCAGCAGTTTGTTTTAGTACATCAAGTTTCCTACAAATAATTATATATTACACCTCAGTTTCCATTACATCTTATACATTTTAAGCTCAAATATAAAAACATAAGACACCTTAATATATGCACAAAAAAGAAAACAGATTGCAATTTGTACAATATTGCCATGAAATGCTTAACTGAGTCTTAATAGAGTTCATTCTGGATGGTTACTAGCCCCTCTTCAATTTACAACACAATGATTACTGAACCTCTATTTCTCAAGACAAGACCACAGCTACTGAAAAAGAAAGGGAAAGGCAGGGAAGAAAAGAGAAGAAAAGGAAAAGAAAGGAAAGGAAACAAAATGAAATGAAAAGATCAGCAGAGCAACAGTTTAGTCTGTTATGTTCAATGAAGCCTAGGTTCATTAAGTGCCCGCTGGTCTACAGCATGGGAGTTGTATCTTCAGTTTGAAAAATCCATAGTCCATAAAATGCAAAGGTGATGTATTTACCGGCTTGCTATGACACACACGGCTCCCATACTAGACAGAGCACTTGCCATTCCTTTTCCAAGACCAGTGCCCCCGCCTGTGATAAAGGCCACTTTCCCTTTAAAAGAATCTGGCGGCAGCATCCATTTCTGAAGAGGTGGAAAGAAGGCAGCTTGAGGAGCATTACTTTGGCACATTGCTTTTGTTCCATGGCTTAAAAACTGAAAAGGAAAAAAAAAAGAATTTTTAAAATTATTTTCCCTTATTATCCCGCATTATCAATACAACCTACTACTACTAACTACTACTACTCAGATTAAAGGAATTAATTAAAGGAAAACTAATTAATTAAAGGAAAACTAAGATTCAAGGAATTAATGCTAACAGCAAATGTTGATTCGGCCAAGAAAAAGATGAAACTATGTCGTGCCTCATCACTGAATGTCCAAAGATTGCACAGATTACAAAATTAGACATGATAGAGTGGCATAATTAGTGCAATGGTCAATATTCAAGAAGTATAACTTGCCAGCCTCCAAAAACCCATGGGAATATCAGTTAGAGAAGGTGTCAGAAAATGATGAAGTCAAGATCTTGTGGGATTTCCGGATCCAAACTGATAGACGCCTTGAACAAGACACACCAGACATAGTAGTAATAGAACGGAGAAATGTCTGGGTCACTGACATAGCAATTCCAGGGGACAAATATTCAAGAAGTATAACTTGCCAGCCTCCAAAAACCCATGGGAATATCAGTTAGAGAAGGTGTCAGAAAATGATGAAGTCAAGATCTTGTGGGATTTCCGGATCCAAACTGATAGACGCCTTGAACAAGACACACCAGACATAGTAGTAATAGAACGGAGAAATGTCTGGGTCACTGACATAGCAATTCCAGGGGACACCAGAGTTGAAAATAAAGAATTGGAAAAACTAACAAAATACAGAGACCTGCCAATCAAAACATCTCACTTGTGGTTGAAACATACTTCAGTGGTCCCCGTAGCCATTGGGGCTTTGGGAGCAATATCAAGAAATTTCATACAGTACTATAAGCAGTTGCAGATCTCAGAAATCACACCATCAAAGCTACAAAAAATGGCAATATTAGAACTGCATACATATCGCGCTGATAATTAATATTTAGGTTCTTAGTTAAAACTTGTATCTGTTATATAACACCAGTCAATGTTCTTATAATCTTGATTGACTGTGCCTGGTGTTTTTTAATAATAATAATAATAATAATAATAATAATAATAATAATAATAATAATAATAATAATAATAATAATAATAATAATAATAATAATAATAATAATAATAATAATAATAATAATAATAATAATAATAATAATAATAATAATAATAATAATAATAATAATAATAATAATAATAATAATAATAATAATAATAATAATAATAATAATAATAATAATAATAATAATAATAATAATAATAATAATAATAATAATAATAATAATAATAATAATAATAAACTACTACTACTACTACTACTACATTGGATTTTTCAACATTGCTGGTGCGTATGGGCATACCAGAGAGTCAAGCCTAAACATCAAGAGGCAAGTCCTAAACGTTTGTGAACGAGGTCACATATTTTAAAAATATGGCTTTTGAAATTTTTGTAGTAGTAGTAGTAGTAGTAGTAGTAGTAGTAGTAGTAGTAGTAGTAGTAGTAGTAGTAGTAGTAGTAGTAGTAACATACTTGACATATTCAGTGTGTTTTCGTGGATACCGTGATGGCTTAGGATTCAGGAGGCCTGGGTTTGAATCCTCGCTCAGCTTGCAGTGGAAGTGGTAAAACCATTCCATAACTATCTCACTTACAATGAAAGCCCTATTAGGGCCATTATAAGCCAGTTCCAAGTACATAACAAAAAAACTGGTAAGAGCTCAAGTGCTTCCCATTTATTATGCAGCTGTAATCTGGAAAACTAGGCAATAACATCGCCCAGAATTGGAATAGAAAGACTGAGGTTTAGAAGGTGTCTGCTTAATGACACCTTATACGTTTATGACAGAGACAACATTTGATGCTATAATGCAGAACTGGAAAACTCCATTATAAGTCAGCTGCTTTCCCAACAACGGGTTCAAGGTCTACATTCAGGTAGCAGGATCCTACCGTTATCTCCTGAGAACTTAATCCTGTTTGGGCAGAGTCCGCAAACTAATTACCCTAGATTAGTCAATGTATTTCCAGCGGAGTCTAGTGTCCCAGTGACAAATAACTGTTCAAATTTTAGAAAAAAAAGCTAAACATAGCTGTGTGGTCCTTGTGTGATATTAAGGTGAGGACAGGCAACACCTTTATTGGAACACTATTTATTTATTTATTGTGGTCAATGACCAGGAAGATAAAAATATATTATTTAGATAAAATCACACAATATTAGATAATACCAAAGACATTGGACAAGACTTGTCACATCAATGCAACATTTTGGGGATTCTCGTATGTATGCACATTTAGATAAAATCACATAATATTAGATAATACCAAAGACATTGTACAAGACTTGTCACCACCAATGCAACATTTTTGGGATTCTCGTATGTATTCATATTAGAGTGTTGTACAATTTAAAATCATGTACACATATTAAATACAGAAAAAATTAAAATGATAATTAGACCATTTTTGACCAGAAGCAGGCTACTTCAATAGCATTATCTCTGCCATTTGCTAGATCTTCTTTTGTAGTCATCTTCTTTTGTACACATAAATTATACAAACTTATTTTGTGGGCATAAACCATAAGCACATAAATGCTGGATTGACCGAATTTCTCCACAGCCACAGAAAATTTGTCCTGTATCCAAGTAGCCTCATTTTACTTGATTGTTCTTTGATCTTTCTACCACACTTTCCATAATATTTTGGGGCACGGCCTGAGGAAGATGGAATTACATCAAAAGCTAGCTGTTCAATTTTTCAGTGGTCTAGTAAAGGTGTCACCTGTCCTCTCCTTTATTCACATTTTGGAAACTTCACTGCCATCAGTGGCCAGTGAAACAGAATCTCAGTGAACGTTGAACTCTAAAAAGATTATGTAAGTACCAGTAATTTATTCTTATAGAGAACAGCTGACATTCAAAGAGTTGCTTAAGTGCACATAGAGGAGCTTGGGATACTTTTAAATACAGTATTGACTTTGAAAAACTGAACACTTGCCATTCCCTCTTCCCCAGTGACTGATGAGAAACTGTTTGTGAAGGGCCCTTCGGTGAATCATTGAATTTAGCAACCGTGGGGAGGTGATTTTTGACTAAAGATGCCAATGCTGCTTGCAGCTCAAAGTACTGTATAAGGAGACTTGCCAATCTTTCATTAGCTCAGACACCATCCTGAAGGCATATTCTCTGGAATGGTGGCACAACTGCCAGCTGCTCATGCAGCTCCACAGGAATTTGAACCCGGCCCCTGCACAAATGATGGCATACTTCTAGTCAAACACTAAAGCACCAACATTTAAAGCTGGAGAGAACCTATGGGTGGATTCTTAAAGCATCAAACTACTAAACTAAGAACATCACACAATTCTGCAAGTCTCCACTGCACATTTACTTTCACAATATCAGTGCAATATAGGCTCCTACTTCTTAAACCATTCCAGTCTGAGTTATGTTACCAATAAAACCTAATGGAGATGAGGGGGAGGGGGCTTTAAGCTTTGACTACTCATAGCATCATATGTAAAGGTTCTCCTTGACATTTAGTCCAACTATGTTTGACTCAGTCTAGGGCGTGGTGCTCATCCCGTTTCCAAGCCATAGGTTTGTCCGTAGACCCTTTCGTGATCATGTGGCCAGCGCGGCTAGACATAGAACACCGTTACCTTCCCACCATGGTGGTACCTATTTATCTACTTTAATTTTTACATGGTTTCGAACTGCTAGGTTGGCAGGAGCTGAGACCAGTGACGGGAGCTCTCTTGTGTGGATTCAATCTTATTATGGCTGGTCTTCCGACTCTGCAGCACAGAGGCTTCTGCGGTTTAACCCACAGCGCCACCACGTCCCCGTCATAGCATCTTACAGGATGCTAAAGATTTCTTGGATCAAGAGAGTGACCACCACAGTAGTAGCAAGATGAAGGAATCAAGATTTATTTTTTTTAAAAAAAAATCATCACGAGGTATATGCATGTGTTCTACCACCTCAGAACTGCATTCTAGCAACCCTAAGAAGGAATTCCAGGTGCTATTGAAAGAGATGGATCAGCGCCACTCCCCAACCCTAAGCTTTCACAGCCAAGCCAGATTTTGAACCCAGTTGTCCCGTCTCTCGTTCTAGTCTGTCACTCTATCCACAACATCATATTAAGCACCATAACCATGTAGAAAGCTGAAATGTTCGTAACAGGAAACAAATTATACACATTGTTGCAGCTGAGCTAACCATTCAAAGGTAAAGGAAAACAGGAAAGAACTTCGGGACTTAAAAGTGACAAACTTGGATGCTGCACAAAGGGAAGCTGCAGTACCTAGTCACTATTGCCACGATGATGCCCCCAACTTCTAGCTAAGGAACAAGAAGATCTAACAACAATTCCGTGTTGTGGCAGACAGAGGAAAATAAGCACACCGCCCTTGTTTGCACAGTAAGTCCACCGTCCCAGGCTTTGCCTGCGTAGACCTCTCGCTTTAGGAATAAGCGCCTAGAAAAAAGGGGGGCGCATGTTGGGAAACCCATGTCCTCTGCGGGGTGTTTCTGAACAACTTCCAAACTC